AAAAAAAAAAAAAAAGAAAGGGGGTGAAGGGGAAAGAATAAACAGCTACAAAGGGTGTTTATTAGCAGCCTGAGAAACACTGAACAACAGGTTCAAACATCACTGCACAGATGATGCACAACCAACAACCCAGCCCACTGGGAGCTGCTAGTTTGGGGAGTATTTTTTGTTTTGTTTTGTTTTTTGAGACAGTCTTACTCTGTCACCCAGGCTGGTGTGCAGTGGCATCATCACAGCTCACTGCAGCCGCTAACTCCTGGCCTCAAGCAACCTCATGCTTCAGCCTCCAAGGGCTGGGTCATAGGTGTGAGATGCTGGGCCCACCTCCACGTGGCCTCTTTCACCTCATTCTTCCCTCCTGAGAACAATGATTCTGTCATGAGCAGTGGCAGTCCACAATCGAGAGAGAGGAGTGACAGAGCAAAGCCCTCACACAGCAGTAGTTCCCAGGGCTCTCCCAAGCAGTGACCTGGGAGGGAACACTGCTGCCCACCTCTGTCCAGAGGGCTGCAACCATGCAAAAGTCAGGCTAGGAGTGCCAGTCCTGTCTCCAGGACTAAGGAAACCCAACTACCTGGCAAAGTTGTCTTCAGAGCCGGGAGCAAGAGGGGCGACTGCAGAGGGAGAGTCTGAGAACACATCCACGAGTAGCCCACCACCAGAGGAGGGTGGGGGCCCTGCAGGGGCAGGGGGTGCCCCCAAACCCAGCAGGTCTGCTGATGGAGAAGGTGTAGACTGGAAAAGAAGGAAGGACAGCATCAGAACACAGCACCGGGCTTGGTCGGCTCTAGACAGCTTGCCATGCACTGGGCCCCCATTGCACTATAGCCTCCCCACAGGACACACACAGGTCAGCGAGTGACCAGTAAGTGAGGGATACCAACCATCTCCTAGAAACAGGCATACCCCAGAGTTAAGACTACAGACACCTAAGCTTCAAACATCAGTTACAATGTCATATGACTAAAAACACAGCCTACATCTTCTCACAAACCCTCTCTGAATGTAAAAATAGTTCTGAAAAAACTTTTCCCATAAAAGTGATCACAAAGATATGTATGGTTTAAGAAATAAGACCACGTATGTTACTGTAAGTTCTCCAAAACAAGAATAGGGTTTTTGTTTTTTCTTTAAGACAGAGTCTCAAGCTGTCACCCTGGGTAGAGTGCCGTGATGTCATAGCTCACAGCAACCTCAAAGTCTTGGGCTCAAGCGATCCTCTTGCCTCAGTTTTTGTATTTTTAGTAGAGACAGGGTCTTGCTTTTTTGCTCCGGCTGGTCTCAAACTCATGAGCTCAGGCAATCCACCCACCTCGGCCTCCCAGAGTGCTAGGATACAGGTGTGAGCAACCACGCCTGGCCACAAGAGTACATTTTGTTGTTGTTCTTGCAGTTGTTTAGCTGGCCCAAACTGGGTTTGAACCCGCCACCTTTGGTGTATGTGGCGGGCACAGTAACCACTGTGCTACGGCACTGAGCCAAGAGTACGTTTTAAAAGATGAAAAAGCAAGCAACTAACTAGAGTGCATTCTTAGTCATTAAATTTAATTCAGTTATGGAGAGAAAGTTGTTAACTTTACAGAATAGACGCCTTTTTAAAAATAACTACTTTTCAATCCTGGGCAAAGGCATGAGAAGAGCCACCATGACATCCCCACTGAGCTGGACATGACTCTCACCTGCCGCTCAAAATCCACTGCACAGGAGCCTCAGCTCCCACAAACAAGGGGCTGAGCAAGGGTAGGGCTGGCTCTGCTCTGGGCTGTTCACAAGGACCTGCTGCACCCACAAAACCAATGTTCACACTCTGATGCTATGCAGCCAGTCTCAGCACTGGGACACTACCACCCAGCCAGAGCACGGTGAGCTGTGGGGGGCATGATCACCTCTGTGACCACAGGGCACTACTGGAGCTTTACAGGCAAAAAACACAGATATCAGACGTCCTTCCTTGAAGACTCATCACGAATGACTTATCATTGTCCCCCTAGACATCCATAAAGGCAAAAAATCAGTTCATATAATAACCCTCTGAGACCAGACTCTAAAGCCCTTTCACATCAATGCAAAGTTAGTGCACCGTGTTGCATTTTAAAACACTCACAATTGTAGGCAGGTACCCCTCCCTGGCACCACCCACAGCTACAGGGCCTGTAGCCTGAACCCATGAACTTTTGAGAGGCTTTTCCCCAAGGACAGGACACCCCTTGTTGCCAGGTCGTCTTGCTAAGCCCTCACTATGTGTCGCTCATACTCAAGCCAGCAACTTCTGCCTGATTCCTCCTAAGCCACGTGGCCAAGCACCAAAGCTGAGTCCCAGGCCCACTTCAAAGTCCATCCTAGACCTCCCTAGGCAAACCTGCGTATGACCAAAGGCCTGAGGCCCAGGTTCTCCTCATTTCTCACAGCCACATCCAAAAAGTCAAGTAACGGCTGGGCCTGGTGGCTCACGCCTGTAATTCCAGCACTTTGGGAGGCCAAGGCAGGTGGATTGCTTGAACTCACAAGTTTAAGACCAGCCTGAGCAAGAGTGAGACCCTGTCTCTAAAAAA